ACAATGATTCTTATATTCAGGTGATTATACACTAATGGAAACATACCTATGAATATTATATTCCATTTCTGCCAAAAAAATCCTTCTAAATGTTACACACGTTTAAACAAATCTGCAAACCCCAGTTTGTGTGGGAGATAATAAATAAATTTGGTCTTCTCAGCAGCTGCTTGTATAATTCATAATATTTGTGTATCATATAAGCTGGCAAAAGCTGCCCAAACTCCCTGAAAACACAGAGTACATGACCTCTGTATCTTCAAATGCAGCTTTCATGAGGGGTCACAGAATTTGTTTGTGGTCACAAACCACTGACTTAGATTAACTATTCTTGTATGCTGATTACTATTTACCACTTGACTGTCACCTCATGTTATGTCATTACTAACAATAAAAACACAATCATTCACTGTACATTCTTAAATCTGATCTGCTGGACTGTCTGGCCAAATCATTGAGTGTACATTCAATATTACGTTCAAATGTTATATTTCTACGCTTCTAACATTTGACTTGTATGTGGTTACAGAATATCTGTTGTGTGAGTCTATACCAGAGTCATTTACAGACCATACTATGTTCCCAAATAGGTGCATTTCATCAGGGTATTTAAATGGCAGTATGAGTAATACTGCAGTATTCCAAGCATGTTTATTTCTGTCAATAAGCAGAGCTCATGGTGACACTGTACCTTCTTCATTCATGCTCCAGCTGCCATACCCTGGGTCTGATGTGTAGCCACAGGTGCCCAGCTCAAAGTTGCAGGACCCGGGCAGCAGCTGCTGCTGCTGCTGCGCCCTGAGGAGTCCGCACAGTAGCAGCACTGCAACAAGAGAAGAGACAAGCACCTATGCTGCAGAGATCATCCATGCTTGTTAGACCAAAGTTTAAAAAAAAACATGGATCTGGTGCAACATTCTGCGTTTTGCCCCCATAGTGAAATAACTTGGATTTACCCTGGAGAGTGAGGCTGAGGCTGCTCATTGTATCCGCCGTTGCAGAAAGTTTGGGATCTCCCTTTGTAGTTTCCTGCTCGTCTCCCGTTCAATTCCCCAAAGAACTACAGCACCAGCAGCTATTCGAAACCCCCACTGGTTGTCTTTCACATGTTGTACCAATGTCAGCTGGAGAGATGGAGCGTTTATCCGGGTGGATGAATGGATGTCCCGGGGGCGGGAGGCAGGAGCAGCGGTCCAGGTCGCAGCGCCTCTCCGCCTACTTTTGCTGCTCTGCTCTGACACATTAATGAGCCAGGGCCGCACCCAGACATGTCTGGGGCCTATTTTGTGGAATTCCCCCTTAACCACCCCGCCACCATGAACACATGTATGGGGCTCAGAGTAGAAGAGTAATAAAAGTCTGTGAATCTGCTAGTCCAAGCAAGTTAAATGTGGCTTTATTTGTCGGTCAGGAGTCCTAATGACACAAACTCTCTTGTTACATGGTGGGCTGTCTGGACCACAGAAAGCATGAGACACACAGGCCTATGGGCTCAGTCAGAATTAGAATCAGCTTTATTGTATAAGTAGCATGTAATACAAGGAACTGACTCTGGCTTTTAAGTTGCTCTCACTGTACCTACACTTACTTACAAATAGACATAAAAACCAAGGGCAACAAAGCTAAACAAAAATAGGTAAATGTTGTTGTTGTACATGTTAGAGCACAGTGTGTATTATCGAGCAGGGGCGGATCTAGAGGGGTGGCATGTAGTGCCAGCTACTACCCCAGCTGCCACTCCAGTTTGGTGTTAAAAAATGGAAATGTATTTGTTATGGTCACATTTTAGACTAAGTGAGGCTTAAGTTCAATGAAACAAAAATGTATTTGGAAAACTATCTGAAGGGGAATTTGGGAATAAAACAATTTATTGATTTCTGGTCTAATGCCACCTTTAGATATTTCTATTCAATGTTGCCACAATAATGTAATTTTTTTTAGTTCAAATATCTTTATTTGAGTTAATATTGATATATGTGATTGTTTGAATATTTCACTAGATCTGCCCCTGCATCAGAGTGATGGCCTGTGGAGAGAAAGTTCTTGTGTTTGGTTGATTTCTTGTAAAGTGTTCTGTGGTGCCTAGCAGAGGGAACAGGTTGTGTCTAGGGTGTGATGGGTCTGCAGTGATGTTTCCTGCCTGTTATATATATAATATATATAAAAGGATGCTAAGGCTTCAGTCTTTAACATCATCACATTGTGTTCTCTGGGTGATGCGGGGTGGTGACAGCTGATTGGGGCTGGTGGAGAACAACAGAGGAGAGGATCAGCTATAAAAATGAAAGAAAAAATATTAAAAATGAGCATATCTCAAAAACAAAAATTGTGTATTGTTTAAATAACATCTGAATAAATTATTTTTTATATATTTATGACTCAATTTCAATACTTTTTCTTAATTATTATCGTTTACTGATTTACATAACCTTTTAGCTGAGGTTGTACAGATTTTAGGGATATGAATACATCTCAAGATATTCAAAGAAATTACATCACAATTCGCAAAAATTTAATAAAAAAAAACAAAAAAACAATGTAGCACTTTCTATTGCAAAGTTCAAAGTGTAAGCAAGTCTGACATAAAGTTGTATTTAAGTCAAAGGTCTAATTTATGCAAGTGGCCCCTGAATGGAGGGCAGGTTGGGACCAATGATTTTTTCTGTACTTGTTATTATGAAAAATTAACATTAACAAACACGTGTTCAAATAAAAACCTTCTTTTGCTACTGGTAAACTTTTGTTGTGCACACAGCCTTTTTGGTCTTTATGCACGAATAATGCTCTAAATGTCTGCGTAAGAGTTTGTAATGGTTAACAGTGGAGAGTGCTGACACACACAAAAAAAAACTGTAGCTGTGTAAGTGGGCCAGAACAATGTCCAAAACACTGTATCTGGGGGGAACTGCAAAGTTGGTAATAATTGTCTGTGGGTTTGTCACTAAGACTGACAGCATAGACATTACACATGTAATCCATAATTATTTAAAATGTAAATCTTTTTTTTGACATTTACAGGGTATAAGAAAAGCGCACTGCTGGTCATCTTATACATAAGAGAAATGAATGATAATTGTATTGTATTGTATTGTATTACTTTATTAATCCCACAACGGGGAATTCCCTTGTCACGCAGCATTTTTACGTGAAATAAATAAAATACAGATTAAGAAAAAAAAAAAATTATGGTGGTAATTTGAAAAACAGAAACTACAACATTGATCAGGTGTTGTAGAGTCTGACAGCGGAGGGATGAAAGACCTGCGGAAACCGCTCCTTCTTACACCTGTGGGTGTAAACAGTCCTGCTGATGAAGGCAGCTACTCGGGACCCCACAAGTACCATGATGGATGTCAGCTTCACTAACATCCTCCTCTCACCCACTTCCTCTATGGAGTATAGTTTGGGTATACAATGATAGCAGCTTGCACCAATGCCAACATATAAACAAAGCATTAATGAACAAAAAACAGAACAAAAGATGTATATTATATATACTGTGTGTATATATACTAACAATAAAATAATTCTTCCCCAGTCTTTGCCAGTGAGCTATATATTCTGATACCTGCCTGCCACATTCAAAGCTTGTGGTGAGTTAGTATTAATTCAGTTATATAGTATAATGTAGTTGAGCACTTAATAATCAAACATTTACATGTTCTGGAATGTATTTAAAAAATGCCCCTCTGGCTTTCTGGAATGTCCCATTTGAATGTTGAAATTACTTTTCTCAAGTTTTAAGCAGGGCATAATGTCTGTTAAACATTGTGCATGAGTGGCAGTGTCCCTCCCCCTGAGCAGGATTCCCTGCAGACAGAGCCAGAAGGGAAACAAAAGTACGCAGTTTTACTAATTGTGTCACTCCTCTAGTGAGCGCAAACAGAGCAACTAGAGGATTTTGTTCTAGTTTGAAGAGAAATGTGATCAGTTGTTGTCTTTAATGCAACTATTTGATGTTATGTTATGATATTTATTTAACAAGACATCTCACAAAGGAAGAATGAAATCAAACCTAAATAGTTTTCTTTTCTGTACAATGATATATCAACCAATATTTATTTTTTATGGTATAAGGGCCTCTCAAATGTGACCATGATATCTACAGAGCAGGACATTAGTGTAAAAACTTGTCAGTGCTCTCTAGTGGACAAACTATGTAGTTGAGGTACTGTTAGTAATCAACCGGGAGTGAGTCGAGGGCAGAAGAAAGATCAAGGAGGACATTCACATCCAACACCAAAGAGCATCTTTGAACAGAGACAGTGGTTACCATCTTCCTCCATATATGGCCACGCCATGATTACTGAGCAAACTTCATACAGTGATGGAGACTGTGGATGTGGTTGAAAAAAAAAAAGCTTGTAAGGGATAAACTATTTTTTATTAGGTTCATTTTTTGTCTCCATTGCTTCAACCTGTCAACACAGTCATAAAAGATGATAGAAAAATACAGCTTTGATTTCTTTGATATGTGGACAGACACAGTGCTAAATATAAAAGGTTAAATATGATCTCTAATGGGTCAGCATGAGCCAAACATCAGCAGTCTCAAAGCACTATGCAATAAATAGAAGGATGATTCGTGTGGGTTCACCCTCTACATCCCTGTATATTCCTCGATTTCCTGTTTTGAAAAGAGAATGATTTTTCCAGGGGATAAAACATCTAATGTGAAATATATGTGGGCCCTGCAGGATGTACCCAGAGCTTAGAACTCCACAGATGCCTCCTGTGGAAACATATTGCACATCTGGATATGGTTATATTCAAAAACATCACATCCCGGTACATATTACTAGACGTCTGCTTCTGCTTACTGAGCAAAGTATGTGTTGCTTTTTTATGCAATGATCATGATATAAAAAGATAAAGTAAAACGAAGACTTAGTTTTTATCTTTTTTAGCACTGTGCCTAAATTCTTAAAAGTTAGTAATAGCCCTCCTTTAAAAGACCAGTGTGTAGGATTTAGTGGCATCTAGCGGTGAGATGGCAGATTGCAACCAACTAAAACCCTCAACCAAGCCAATAGGAGAAACTACGGTGGCTGCAAAACATGGGAGATCAACATGGTTGACTCCGCAATAGAATACAATAGAATAAAATACAGATATCTGGTTGTGAGCTAGGGGAACATATGTAATTAATAATTGGTAATCTTCCTACTAGAAAACGGGAGCTTCACTTGAGATATGTGGGGAAACTCCTACACCAAGAGTTTTTGCATGTAACAGCTCAGCAAATGGCAAGGTTAAACCCAGAAGGACAAGACAAAGATAAAACAGAGGCAGGCACATAAAACAGGAAAACTTATCTGTAAAGAAAGCTCAAACTGCTTCATTTCTAAAGACAACTGACTAAGGACCCTGACTTGAAACAACGTGGAATGTGCACAGCCCAAGTCAGGAGGGCTTTGCAGCAGATGATTAAAACTACCCATAACATCAACAAAGCTGGGTCCTGACTTGAAATGGAGAGTCACTGGATCTGACTCAGAAAGATTACAGAACTTGCTGATGGCATCTGGAGATGTCTTGAATCTCAGGTCCCTGCTACTCAGAAATCCCCAGAAGCTGTGCTCTGTGGGTAGAGGTGATTGAAAGTAGCTCATCTGGTCCCCACCCTACATGCCATGGTATTTTAGCAATGAGAATGTGTCTAATGATGGTGTTCCAGATTGGCGAGTATAATGCCACAACATGTGCCTATGCCTAATGCAGCCTAGCACCAACTGGGAATAATGCTATCAGCTTTGTTTCTGGGCATGACAACATATAATAATGTTGGTTTTTATGGTCCTGGTAGATAAATTGTGTTTTGTAGTGAAGGTGATGTGGAGAAAATCCCAGAACCTGTGCTCAGTGACATGTCAGACCTGGAGTCTACTCATACATATCCCAATCAAGCTACCAGCAATGAAAAAGTGTGTTCTCCCAAACCTGCTACACTCCTGGAGAGTTCCTGTTGCCAACTATGCCCGTCGCCAAGAGCAGCTCTTAACAACCTTATAAAGCTTCATCCAAAAGTGGCCTCTGAGCATCTTGAAAGATAATGAAATGTCTACACTCTGCTTGAGCATTTGTGTATGAGATAAGCCAGTTTTTATCTTGCTTGTTCATTCTTTTCCAGATCCCATGCATCTTCAGATTTGGCATGACTTACCAAATAAGTTGCACTTATGGTCTGATTTTCAG